AACACCATCATCAGTAGAGCATGGAAAGTTTCCAAATGATATACATCCAATGTGTGGTGGTTGTTGTCAACTTCCCTGGTGTTTCTCAAAGCGGTTTGTCGAGATATCTTGTCGCAGCCATGTCGTAATCACGTCGTAAAGCATCCGTCATGAAGGTCAGCAGCAGCAGCGAGTAGCAGTTGGTCTCTCCGTGTGGAGCAGTGGTGTGGACATGTTACGGAGTGGCGAAGGACACAACACGTAGAAATTACCCACCTGGATGTACAGCGATCAGCAGCGAAGACGATGTGTGTCAGCCACGAGATCAATATGGGATAGCACCTTAGCACGAAACCCGATACAGCCTTCATAGATGCAGCTGTATGATTGCTGTATGCAATGATACGTACATGCGGTGTGATATGTGACGTTTGGGAAAACGTAACATGTAGACTATGACGAGTTCTAGCGAGGAACTCACGAATGAATTAATGGTTGAGCAGAGGATTGTAATTGTAGCGAGATCACGAGGTGTTGCGAGCCCCACCGGGTTCACTCCCCAACTATCCCTCAACATCTCACCTCTGCAAGTACGCTGAAGAAGAAAGAAAGTATAAGTCCCAAAAGCGGCATCTAGAAACAACATCGACTTCGGTCACTGTCTCAACAGACTTCGGTCTACACAGACTTCGGTCTGCACATCACACAGACTACTGTCTGGAACTGCACATAGGCTTAACCGCCTGCAGACACGACCCTTGGGTACAGGGCACCTCGACACTACACATTTCTATATGGATGATGTTGAGAAGCACGATGACCACTAGACTGCTAGTCAGCCTAGACTACTCGTCAGCGCTGACTAGTAGTCTAGTGGTCATCGTGCTTCTCAACAAAAGTCAATGCCCGTGTCCGATGTAGCTTTGCAGCCACGAACACGTCCCCCCAGGGTTGCCATCCCTGTGATCAGCGCTGTCTTGCCCGGAAATTGCATCGGTACAAGAGGTACATCGGCTTGCTTTGCGAAGTCTCATAGACTCTTTCTCCTCATACATCGGGCGCAAAGAAAGTTATGCTCAAGGGGAGAATCGAACCCCGGACACTGGCATTTTTTGGTGGTCGAGTAGATGATGTTGTGCGGGGGTCGGGGTCGAGAACCCTCACTCCGCGCAAAGGGGATAATCGCACCAGGTTGTGATAAATTGGTCAAGCACCCTCGAGGCAGTTTCACAGTGCTTGCAACTGTCTCTGGAAGTGAAAGCACCAGAAAAAACAATAAAGTCATACGCAGCTGTCATCCGTACGCAAGGAAGTAAGCACACGATGCCGAACACCCTTAGCATGATGCAGCGCACCCTTCATGCGACTCGCCGAATACCTCACGGCGCTTCGCGCTTGGTGATGTGAGAGCCTGGTCCGGTGAGAACCCGGCATGCTTTGTCCCGGCTTTGTAGGGATGTGAGCGAGGTCAATGGTCTAACGACTACGACATGCACGACTACGAGTACCCCCCCCCTTTGTCCCCCCCCCTGGTGTTTGTCATCGGGGTTGGGTTTTCGTTGCTTGACAGCGATGTTGTGAGACTAGCCGATCACTTCGTGCGCTCGGCAACCAGGTTACCGCTTTTTTTTGCCTCTGTTTCTTTTTTTTTTTGCGGTGGCCACAATGGTGGCCGAGTAGATTATGTTGTACGGGGTCGAGAACCCTCACTCCGCGCAAAAGGGATGATCGCACCACGTTGTGTTAAGTTGGTCAAGCGGAAAATGAATTAAGTCTTTCGCAGCTGTCATCCGTTGCAAGGAAATAAGCACAAGATGCCGAACACCCTTAGCAGGATGCCGCGCACCCTTCCTACCTACAGGTTGCAGTTGGTTTGAGGTCGTTGGGGCTCTGTGGGCGGAGATCTGCCTGGTGGAGAAAATGAGAAGTGTCTCCATCGGTAGAGCCAATGGCGTTGCTGTTTTCGAAACGTTTTCGAAAACAGTCAGTCACCTAAACAATCGATTGTCAGAAGGGGGTCGCTTACAACGGTCGAAAATATTCTTCACCGAACCCAATACTGAAAACTTGTAGTTGGGCGGGGTGAATGAGCCACGGGTTACGACTCAATACGTTGCAGTATTCTATCTGCGATGCTGTGCGAGACACGCTGCTTCCAGGCAACCACCCCGCACACGCGCGCGGGCGGAGTGGTCCGCAATCTATAATCTACGTACAATAGAAAACGTGTCCGGAGGAGTCTATGTATTCGGGCGGATCTTCAAGACTGACAGGTTGGTTCATCCGCTCCCCCGCTGAGTGTCAAATGCTGTTCTTGGATTCGGATTTGCTGTGGCCGGCGACTACAAGTACGACGCCGAAGACCTTCCTTTTTCAATCCGTCCACGCCGTCCTTTCCCGAAACGCGCAGCTCATCTTTTCTGTCATCATGGACACGGCGTAGGAGAATGTTGGAGATGCTCTACTTGATCCTCCTGCTGGGGCTCTCCGCGTTGTTGGATACCTCCGCAGGTGGGTGGGGAGGGTTCGATCAACATTGGGGAACACCATCGATGGTGTGTAAGTAGTTCGTGTTATCGCCACGGTCATCTCGTACTATCGGTGGTCAGAACCATACCACAGCTCTCTAACTTTGTTCCGCGACACCAATAGGGAGAAGAGCAACATTTTGATCCAAACGCTGGTACGTAAATGTTGCTTCGATGTCTTGCGTAGTAGGCAGGCAGGTGAACACCGAACAGGGGGTGGGGGTTCGCCAGCAAAACCCAGGATTTACAGCAGTGTGGCGTGTGATTACACCACGCTTGTTCACCTCTTCGAGTAGTGAGGAGCCGATCGCCCCGGTGGTTCACTTGGTGATGGCGAAACCACTATCGTGTCGGCTCCCCATCCCCTTACAGTACCCCCCTAAAGAATTTGTCGACAAGAGCGACCGACTATATTGGAAAAGGTAAGGGTAAGCTTCGTAGGCCAATTTTTGTTGCCGCAGGTGTGCTGGGTCGGCGTGAAAGACTTTGTGAAGTGCGATATTTGTTCCTGTTTCGCAGGAGTCGATCTCACGCAGCAGAATTCGTGGAATCTCGTGATACGTCCTTGCAGCCGTCATTTGCCGACGTTCAGATTCACATCGATACCCGCTAGTTCAACGGAACCTGTCTTGAGTTCGACCGACCCCTCAATATGGAATTTTTGTTTTTTGAGGGTTGCACGTGTGTAAAGGAAGGTGTAGTGTATTGGGCACGAACGCTATAGCCTCTTCATTTTGCTGACACAGCGTTGCTAGACAAGACTACTACTTTCGTTGACTTTTGTAGAAGCCTTGATTTCATAGCATCTTCATTTTGCTGACACAGCGTTGCTAGACATAGACTACTACTTTCGTTGACTTTAGAAACCTTGATTTCCAAGAAATGGAAACACTTTCCACCGTTCGGAGAGATTGCCAGCTCAATATCTTCCCTGCCTGCCTGTGTTCGTGTGCTGACGTCATCGGACATTGTCCTACTTTGTTCTGTGCCTCGAACCGCCACGCCGGTATTGGTTGTGGAGGCTGCGGTCGATGGTTGATCGACTGGATAAGTTGGCTGTTCCCCCGTCAATCGGTACCAGTTTTTTCGAGCTCGATTTTTCGTTTGTCTCGTACTCGGGTGTCTCTTCTCTGTCGTGGGAACATGCCAGTACGGTGCCATGGTCCAATGGTCGATTCGGCAGTATACAATTCTGATACGGCTGCTCCACTAGCATAGACCGTTCTGTGCCAATCTCACCATTCGCCCACTCATCTCCTCTCATCTGCCGTCTGTCCTGCGTACGCCGTTGGTTGCAGTTAATGTATGCCTGGACTCCACCGATGCCGACAGATGTCAGACTACTACTGGAACTTTGTGAGCCCCTACCGAAGTATATGTTGCTGCTCCGCACGACCCCAAATATACTTGATGGTGGCCGACAAAGCACCCGTTGATGATACTCGGCGTGGCTCGTTGCAGATCGATTGAGTTACCTTGCAGGGTGGGAATTTGCGATTTCTTCGTCAATGCTCGCTCGACCATCGGCGATGTTGAAAATCTAGCCTCCGGTACCCGTTGGTAGGCAACGGTTGGGCAGTATTTTGAGTTCAGGGTATTTGGCAAGGTAGTCATTCCCGCACGCTCATGCGCTTTCTGTGGATCAACGAGGCCGCACCTCACACAGAGCAAAACTTGACCCGCCGTTTGGTGTGTGCGGTTATATCCCAGGAGCCTTAGTTCGTGCGGCATAACAGATGCCGATTTCGACGACCTAGCGTCATGCTTGGAAGCTGCTGGACCAGAAACAATCACATCTCTGTGAGTGCATCAATATGCCATGATTTACGATATGGTGGGTGGGATTTGACCAAATGCTGGACACATTTGTTCGACGTGGCCTTTGCAAGGTGCTGTACTGTACATCCGCCAAGTCGGCTTGAAGCGCATGTGATGAATGAGCTACTGTACCGTACGCCCCGTTTGGTTCTTCGTGCGTGCAATCCTCCCATCCCCGCAGATGTTGTGTCGTTGTGTAGTATGGGGTTTTGTGGGGAAAGCTGAGAGGCCGGGTCCTTGTTGATGTGCTCTTTGTTTTGGGGTGTTCCCCCTTTCCTTGTCGTTTCTGTGGGAGTCTGGAGTTCTCGGTCGTGTGGACGGACGTGTCTCGTGTGTTGGCAAGGTTGGCCGTTGTCCAGATCTTGCCTCGTACCAGTGACAGATTTTTCCTGTGAAAACTCATAGTGTAAAAGGAAAACACTATTTATACAATGGAACGACACACGTTTGCTACCAGCGTACATTGCGCAACATGTCATGGGCCACGGATGTCCGGTGGTCTGTTCTTGGATGTGGTGTCCCGCTACGCAGAGTTCGCAACATGCTGTGTGTTCTCGTCTTGTTACCCACGAACGAACGCAGACTGCTATCCTGCAGACGCGACGTCGAAATATTTTACTCTTCGCGTGTTGCGTACACTCTGTGCCACCTCCATAGGCCTTTGATGCAACCTGTATGTACTCTATACCAATGATATCGCGAATAGTGCGCCTTCCCGCACTATTGATGGTACTGAGAACCCTGAATAGTGCGTCTTCCCGCGCTATTCAGGTCCAAAATCATATAGTGCGGGTGAAAGCGCTTGGCACATATCCGCACTGTAGAGGGAACCCCACTGTATACCAATCGTGCCATGAATGATTAAGCCCCAACGACCGCGCCGGAAAGCAGTTGGTACGAATTTCGATGTAGAACATGTGAGGGTGCCCAAGACCAGCTCCAACCTACCCATCGTAGTCTCGCTGTGGTTTTCCCGTCTACCCCCAGCCGCAGCACTGCCTCGAAGCTTGCATGGGTTGTCTGTGAAACATACGAGTAGGTCAATTTCGGCTTGAATGTGCGTTCGTTCGGCAATTTTGCCGGTACATCCATCGTGTGTAAGCATTTGTTGAGGTGATCGAGAGGAGGAGGCGATCTCGGCGTGGCTAGAACCGCGAGCATCGTACTTCTACTGCGGAACGGCATAGATTGTCGTTTCCTGGTAATGGCGGTAGACCGTTTACATGGTGGTGCCCTCACGGGCCTGATATTCTAGTCGCCCATCCGATCCGCGGTGTACGCAATGCAACCCTGGAACGAGTTACGACTGACAACATCGCCCTCAGCTGTAGCGGGAATGATTGTCCCCAGGTATTCACACGGAGGCGAGAACCGTGACTTTGCTAGTAGCACAGAACACCGTCTGTGCATGTTTTGGTGGGCTTGTCGCACCTTGTAGATGACTGTGTGAGGTAGCAAGCACTGATTCCTAGGTAACGTGTGTTCTCTGCTCCGCTCGTGGCCTTCCCTCGACATCCACAGGTACCTGAATGACAACGAGCTCACCACCTTGTCTGAGGGAACCTTCGGGGGTCTTACGGCCTTGGAAACACTGTAAGTACTGTAGCTGTTCGACGGTAGGATACTTCCCGTAGCCTGCGATGAAGAACACAAAGACCACAGACCAATCGTGCCCCTGAACCATTAAGCCCATAGAGCGCGTCAGAACGAAGCTGGTAGGAATTTCGGTGTAAAACAGGTGGAGGTGGCCAAGACCAACTCCAACCTACGTACCGTAGTCTCACTGTCCGTCTACCCCCAGCCGCGGTACTGCCTCGAAGCTTGCATGGGTTTGTCTGTGAAACACACGAGTCGGTCAATTTCGATCTGATTGTGCGTTCAGTCGGACATTTTGTGGGTGCATCCATCGGACGTATGCATTTGTTGAGGTGATCGAGAGAAGGAGGCGATCTCCGCATGGCTAGAAACGCGAGTACCTAAAGATCGTCCTTCCACTACGTGACGAGATAGATTGCCGTTTCCTGGCAATGGCCGTAGACCATTTAAATTGTGGTGCCCTCACAGGCCTCACATCCTATTCCCTTATCCGATCCGCGGTGTGCGCAATGCAACCCTGGAACGGGTTACGACTGACAACGTCGCCCTCAGCTGTAGCGGGAATGGTGTGATTGTATCCAGGGAAGCACGCTGCTGCGTAGTCACGTTGCTAGCAGTACAGAACACCGTCTGTGCACGCTGGCAGGCTAGCCGCGCCTTGCAAATCACCATGTCCGGCAGCAACAACTGATTCCTAGCTCATGTGTATTGTCTGCTCCGCTCGTGGCCTTCCCTCGACACCCGAAGGCACCTGTATTCCAACGGACTCACGACCTTACCTGAGGGAATCTTTCATAATACAACGGGTCTACAAACACTGTAAGTAGTTGTTCGACATGGTTATCGGTAGGATGCGCTTCCGCATCGGGTCAGCCTGCCTAACCCTAACCAAAGGCCACAGACCAATCGTTCCCCTGAACCATTAAGCCCCAACGACCGCGCCGAAAGGCAACTGGTGGGAGTTTCAGTGTAGAACAGTTTGGGGTGCTCAAGACCAGCTCTCAACCTACGCACCGTAGTCTCGCTGCCGTCATGGTGTCAGCCTCTAACCGCTGCACTGTCTGGAAGCTTGCATGGGTTTGTCTGTGAAACACACGAGTCTCGGTCAATTTCGATCTGATTGTGCGTTCATTCGGACATATTGCGGGTAGATCCATCGGATGTATGCATTTGTTGAGGTGATCGAGAGAAGGAGGCGATATCGACGTGGCTAGAAACGGGAGCACCCAAGGATCGTACTTGTACTGCGAAACTGTGTACATTGTCGTTTCCTGGCAATGGCGGTAGACCTTTTACATGTTGGTGTCCTCACGGGCCTCGTATCCTAATCTCTTATCCAATCCGCGGTGTGTGCAATGCAACCCTGGAACGGGTGACGACGGCTAACTCAGCAGCTGTAACGGGAATATGGCAGGATTGGTATGATCGTACCCAGGGAATCACGCGGCGGCGTAGAATCCGTGACTTTGGGAATGCCACAGAATGCCGTCTGTGCATGTTGGTGGGCTCGCCGCGCCTTGCAAATCCCCATGTCCGGCAGCAAGCACAGGTTCCTAACTCACGTGCGTTCTCTGCTCCGCTCGTTGCCTTCCCTTGACACCCGAAGGTACCTGGCTGAGAACGAGCTCACCACCTTACCTGAGGGAATCTTCGGGGGTCTGGCGGCCTTGGGAACACTGTAAGTAGTTGTTCGACATGATTGTCGGTACTTGTAGGATGTTTTTCCGCATACGGTGAGCCTGCGATGGACAACACAACGCCCACTGACCAATCGTGCCCATAAATCATTAAGCCCCAACGACCACCCCGGAAAGCAACTGGTAGGAATTTTGGTATTGAACAGGTGGGGGTGCCCAAGACCAGCTCCAACCTACGCACCGTAGTCTCGCTGCGGTTATCGCGTCCACCCCCCACTGCTGCACCGTCTCGAAGCTTACGTTGAAATGGTTGTGTCTGCCAATCACACGATTCCATCAACTTCGATCTGCATATGCGTTCATTCGGCCATTTAGCCGGTAAATCCATCGCATGTATGCATTTGTTGAGGTTATCGAGAGAAGGAGGTGATCTCGAGCACCCAAAGATCGTACTACATATCGGGATCCGTTTCCTGGCATTGGCCGTAGACCTTTTACATGGTGGTGCCCTCATTGGCCTCATATCGTAATCCCTTATCCGATCCGCGATGTACGCATTGCAACCCTAGAACGGGTTGCGACGGCCAACTCAGTCGCCTCAGCTGTACATTAGTGGGAATATGGCAGGATTGGTATGATTGTATCCGTGACTTTGCTAGTGCCACAGAACGCTTTCTGTGTCTGTTGGTGGGCTCGCCGCGCCTTGTAAATCACCATGTCCGGCAGCAACAACTGATTCCTAGCTCATGTGTAATGTCTGCTCCGCTCGTGGCCTTCCCTCGACACCCGAAGGCACATGTATTCCAACGGACTCACGACCTTGCCTGAGGGAATCTTTCATCATGCAACGGGTCTTCAAACACTGTAAGTAGTTGTTCGACATGATTGTCGGTAAGACTTTTTCCCGCATCGGGATAGCCTGCGATGGACAACACAACGACCACAGACCAATCGTTCCCCCTGAACCATTAAGGCCCAAGGACCGCGCCAGAAAGCAGCTTGTAATGCTTTCGGTGTAGAACATGTGGGTTAATTCAAGACCAGCTCCAACCTACGCACGGTAGTCTCGCTCCGGTTATGGTGTCTGCCCCCAGCTGCTGCACTGTCTCGAAGCTTGGGTCGGGACGATTGTCATACAGACGGTTTGGTCAAATTCGGCCATTGTGCGGGTAGATCCATCGGATGTATGCAGCTGTTGAGGTGGTCGAGAGGAGGAGGCGATCTCGGCGTGGCGAGAAACGCAAGTACCCAAGCATCACCATCGCCACGGGGTAGGTCATTGTTTTTTGGAATTGACGGTAGGCCTTTCACATAGTAGTGCCCTCACGGTCCCATTTTCAATTCTCTTATCCGATCCGTCGTGTACGCAACGGTAAACGGGTTCGGACGTCCAACTCAGTCACCTCAGCTGCAGCGGGAACAAGGCAGGATTAGTATGATTCTATCCTGGTCGTCGCGCGGCGGCGGTCCGTGACTTTGCTAGTCCCACAGAAGCCGACTGTGCATGTTGGTGGGCTGGCCGCGCCCCGTAGAACACCATGTGAGGCAGCAAGCACTGGTTCCCAACTCATGTGTGTTCTCTGCTCCGCTCGTGGCCTTCCCTCGACATCCACAGGTACCTGTCTGAGAACGAGCTCACGACCCTGCCCGAGGGAATCTTCGGGAGTCTTACGGCCGTGGAAATTCTGTAAGTAGATGTTCGACATGGGGACAGGTAGGGAATTTTCGGCATCGGGTTAGCTTGTGATGGAGAACACACAACACCACAGACCAATCGTTCCCATGAACCATTAAGCCCCAACGAGCGCGCCGGAATGCAATTCGTAGGAGTTTCGGTGTAGTACAGGTGGGCGTGCCCAAGACCAGCTCCAACCTACGCACCGTAGTCTCTCTGCGGTCATCGCCTCTACCCCCAGCCGCTGCACTGTCTCGAAACTTGAGGTTGGATGGGTTTGTCTGTCAAGTACACGAATCGGTCAATTTCGATTTGAATGTGCGTCAATTCGGCCATTTTGCTGGTGTATCCATCGGATGTAAGCATTTGTTGAGGTGATCGAGAGGTAGAAGCGATCTCAGTGTGGCTAGAAACGCGAGTACTCAAGCGTCGCTATGCATAGCGGGATAGGTCGTTGTTTTTGGATTTGACGGTAGACCTTTCACATACTAGTGCCCTGCCTCATATGTGAGCCTGCGCACTGCTCTGTGGTTACGGGCGTGATGGTATGTGTCTATCGTGAGCGAGAGAGAGGCCATATGCGCATGTCCAACAAGTGTTTTGAGGGATTCTGGGCGGTGCCATAGTGCTAGCAGCGATATAGAAGTATACTGTAGAAGTCGGCGGGGCTTGGTAATTTCCTAAATGGTCTATGTACTGTATCCAGTACGCCCGTCAACGGAAACGGGCAATGTAGTATCCTTCGGAGAACCCCCGAACCATGAGACACCACCCTCCAAAGAATTCTCGCTGGTGCATCACAAATTGCATACCTTTCGAACGCCTTATCTTTAGAAGCGCCCGGGGGGTTAATGGTCGAATGTTGGGCGGGTGACCAGACGTTAACTCCGAACAGCCGTCCCTGTGGAGATATTTGAGCGTGCTTCCATTCACTAGGGCACAGCCATGTTGACATGCCGGCGAGCCCTAGGCCTACAGGGCCCCGCAACTCCCTAATAGTCAGATCACACGGATTCCGACCCCCCGAGGCCTCGTGTATCATACCCACCACGGCGTACACCTATCAGATCTTACATAGGCAACGGTTTCCTCTCCCCTGGGCTGGGGTTGGGGCACCACTATGTTTGGTGGTTTACCAAAAACATTATGAAAATTTGCCTTTTCGTCCCGAAATGCGGTAAAACGTGTGTGAGGCAAATTGGACAAACACCAACACCCCTGAACACTCCATTTTTTTCTTTACACCTGGGAACGTTGAACCCCGTGGGCTCTATTTTGGTGTGGAAAGATACCCCTCTAATTTCGATGTCACGCCGGGCTTTTTTTCCCCGTGACATTTATCTTCTCACTGCGGGGGGTGCTCAAGTGATACTCCGGTACCGGTCGTACGGCAAGTATATGGTCGCTGTGTATGCAGTGGGCTGGATCTATCATCGGCTCCGCGTGTCCGAAAAATAATTTGGCTGGTCATCACGCGGCGGAAAAGAGACGCCGTTACTCTACCAAAGCATTCGAACTTCGTCAACGCAATGGCAAATGGTTGTTCATGGCTAACTTGTCCTTGCCTTGCTCCGCCCATGGCCTCCACTTGACACTCGAAGGTCGCTGGCCAACAATGACCTCACCACGCTGCCGGAGGGAGTATTCCAGGGTCTCTCGGACCTGACAACACTGTAAGTGGCTACGATGCTTTTCCGCATGGGCTCAGCCTGTGCTACAGAAATGAAATCACCAAACGTTTTCCCGGTTTGCTCGGGAGATGCTAGGGAGAGTATCATTGCACTTGAAGCGCTACTGTCCAAGTCGGCGAGAGTTTGGTACTTTTAAATCAGCCCCCTTGCTCTAACCTGGCGCCAAAGATGGTACCCAGCGCACCTGGAACGGGTAGCTGAGAAGTTCGGACGCTCTTCGGTGCTGAAATGATTGATCGTTGGCACGGTTGGTTGAAAATGGTCCTCTTACGAATTTCCTCAACTTCGTACTCTAGTCTCGTGCAGATACTCTACGGTCTACCGTGCAACCACATCACAGTTTGTTGTTTTCGTCTTTCCGTCTTCCGTGCGCAATTGGGAGATTCGAGGCCAGGTAGCTAAACGTGCTGGGAACGAGGTTCATTTTGTGGTCCACAGGATACATAGCCCGGGCACGACCTTTGGTATCGGTTGTATGCTCGTCGTTGTTGCTGACGGCGTACGTGCTTAATGCACTGAGCCCTGTCTGCATTCGGCATGAGATCACACCCATACTTGTGCTTTCCTTATCTCAGTGTTTCGCATATGGCCTCAACATGCAGGTTCTCTTGTAGACCCTTTGATGCTTACGTAAAAACGAACACCCGCAAATCCTGGAAATGTGGTACTAAGTACTTCGTAGGGAATCATTGTACACCTTGGCCCAAGGTAGCGTGCAATATCCAGTTTATTGTTGTTTTCTTTCGAATTGCTTCATTATTTTTCTTCGGGTTCTAGGCCACATGTTGGGAAGCGAGACACACGGAACGCCCATCGTCTCACCAGCCACATTAAATTAACTAATACGAGGCGCCAGGTTTCCGAACAATTAACGAAACTACAAATCCGAAACTGATCACCAACACACCATATTTTATTCTGTCTGTTCGACGAATATGCTTTCCTCTTCCCGACATGGCAAGCCTTTTGGGTTAGGATCTTGCAAAGCTCCTTTCTCAAGCCCCTCCGGTTTTACTGAAAGTTATTCCTTTCTTGGAGCGAGCTTCCATCATATATCAGGAGGAGTCCTTCGATTTCCTCCCAGGCACCCCATGAGAATAGAGGAGTAGACTGTCGTCCTATTCTACCATTTTCTCCCTACTTCGACCGTCATGGGCGCGGTACTGCGGGCGTGATTTGTTGCTGTCCTAACCTAGCGCTCCCAACGAGCTGCTCTTTGTATCGGTAGTGGCACCTTGCTTACCTTGCTGTTCCCTCCTCCTCAACGTTTGGTCCGTTGTTGCATCTGCTGTTCTCGTCCGGTCTTGCGCTGGCGAATCTCGTTCGGGGCCTGGATTTTAGGTGGCTGGACGGAAACGCTCTGGAGTGCTTGCCCTCAACCACACTGTGAGGAACGCCAAATACGCATCGATCGATGGTTTCGAAATACATATCAACAGAGCATTTGGACAACAGTATCACGCGTTTGGGGATCTAGCCAGCATCACGTAGAGACCAAGCACACCATTGTTGTCCGCTGCTGCTCGCGATATCGGACGAATGCGTCTTCCTGTAGCATTATTTCTCTGAATGTTAACCGCAATGTGCTTCGTAGAACACTAAAATCGTCGAGCCGCTATCGCGTTGGCCGTATTGTTCGGGCCCACAACTATTTAGTTTGATCGCGCACGCATTGGCTCTTAACATGTCTAAATCACGCAATGCATCTTCGGTTGAACCTGCAGAAAGGAGTTTTTCCCGGCTTGCTCCTTGCTTGTGTTTTGCGCATGAAGCATTTTCGTTGATGCATTGCATCGTAGATCAACATCGCTTCATTTGCTTAGACCATTTAGCGCACCCTGTTGACCTCATGTGCGCACTTCGCAGGGTGGAAGTTGATGATGATGTTTCGGACGGGCTCCACGTTGATGCATACGGTGACGAATGTGGTGAGTGGTTCGCCGAGAAAGGTGTACCGATGGGGTTGGTGCTCGATAGGTGCTCACCGGTACCATGTTGCTTTTGCTGCCTTGCAGTCTTTGCCCCACGAAAGTATCGGGTAGATCATGTCGCTTTTTCAAATGAGGGTGCCTAGTAGCAGCTCGCGTGGGATTTTGGTTTGCGCTCCATTTAACAATCGAGGCATCCCACAGCGGCTCTTGGTGGGAGCGGCACAGAGGTCCAGCGAAACATCGTTCGGCGTCGCCCGTTGGTCCAGATACTGTACATATATTACACGCTCCCTCGTGCAATCTGGATCGCTGTGAAGGGCGGACAGCTGTACCATCTGCAGACTATACCGTGAAGAGAACGCATGGCAAAACGGGTCACGATGGGTCTGCAAATCGATTCAATCGCGACCATCGTTTGACGTCAAGACGATGATCGAAAGGAGCTGCAGTGCTAATTGAGCCCAAACGCGGCTGTTCCATGCTACTTGACAGCTCTCACTCTGTGCAAAAGCGCATCTCCAAACCTCCGCGCGAGACTGGTTTCGAAGTTCACAATCTGGCGAGGGGTGGATGCAGGCATGCTTAGTTTGGGCGAGAAGTGTTGTCATCGTTCTCCCCAAGCAGCACCATTGTAGGCTTTGTACCTTCATGTGCAAATATTGCCATGCGCCCCCCACTGACGTGCTTCGAACGTTTTCAGGGTGTTCTATTACGGGCGTGGTCGACAACGTGTGCGGAGAAGAAACGTGCACTCCCGGAGATGAAGGATACACCTGTGGTGAGAGAAGATAGCCCCGCAAAGCATATTCCGTAGTAAATTATCCTCTACATCGAGGGGCTTGGGCAGTCGACGAACTGACACTCTCCAACACCCATAGTCTAGATTCACCACGACAACAAGTGCTTCTCGATGTTTAGGAACAAGATGCAACCTTGATTTAGCATGCTCATTTTGGCCAAGACGCCATCTGCTACTTATTTTATAATTCGGTGTTTGTTTGAACTGTCAGCTGATGGCCTACGAAGGCAGTAAGCAGACATGCACCAAGAAGACATGCATCGTCTACTCTGTTGTAATAAACTCCGAACGACAGCGACTGAACGATGTTCGGGCAGGAATCGCATAGGTTAGATTTGCGACCGCTCTTTGTCGCCGGACCCATTCAATACTTTAGAAGACTTTCCTCAAGTAACTATTGTGCCAACTGATTGGGTGCGCGCATTCATGCCCCCAATAAAGGTCGCCTGTCCTTTTTTCGTTGTTGGCTTGGTTCCCACTCCTCCAGTTGGGATTGTGTAGGGTGAAGCATGACCAACTGGTTAAACTCTCGCGTGATCCAACCCAATAAATCCTTCAATACCCGCCAACCCGGTATCTCGCGGCAGCGGCCACACTTGTGCCTGCGCCTACACCTGCACCGGGTACAGTCGCGCCGGGATCTACCCCACTACCTACGCTGGCACCCGGCTCGGGCTCAGAAGGTAAGAGACTTGATGCCGCATCTCCCGTTCAACTAGGGCATGCCGTATTGTCAATAACAGCCACTACGTCGTCGAATACTGACATATCCCCGGCTTTGCTCCAAACATGCCCAGTTCACTACTGTCCGGAGTGATATTTTCCGCACTCAAAACTCTCCGCCCTCCTCTAAGCTACAATGTTCACGGGGTTAGGCCGCTAGCGAACGAATGGTCTTAGCTTCCCCTAGTAGTCCTGTTTGCCGACCTCTGTTGCTCGTGTGCTTCCTACACGTTGGGCAAGGGTCATCGTATACATGTGTTGTAGTAAATCCGAACGACAGCGATTGAACCGATGTGCCGGCAGGAATTCTGTAGTTTACATTTGCGACCGCTTTTTGGCGCGAGACACATTCCATACTTAGGACTTTCCCAAGCACTAGTCTTCCTAACGTGTGATGGTTCTTCCAAGTGATCGAGTGCGCGCATCCATGCCCCCGATGAAGGTCGTCTGTCGTTTTACCCTTGTTGGCTTGGCTTCCCGCTCCTCCGACTGGGGGTATGTAGGGTCAAGCGTTTGAGTAACTGGTGAAGCTCACGATTGCCCAATCCAAATACGTCCTTCAATACCCGCCAACCTGGTATTTCGCGGCAGCGGCCACACTTGCGCCTGCACCTACACCTGCACTGGGCACGGCCGCGCCTACGCCGGCACCCGGCTCGAGCTCAGAAGGTAAGAGACTCGATGCCGCATCCTCCGTGCAACTGTGGCATGCCGTGTTGTCAGTAACAGCCACTACGTCGTCTAACGTTGACATCCCTCCGGATTTTGCTCCGAACATGCCCAGTTCACTACATACTATCCGGTGAGATATTTTCCGCACTCAAAACTTTAACCCTCCTCACAGCTACGCTATTCTATCCTTCAAGTGACGGAGCTAATAGTCATCTCCGCTAGTGAACGAATAGTATCAGCTTCCCCTAGTATCTTGTTTGCCGACCTCTGTTGCTCGCGTGCTTCCTACACGCTGGGCAAGGGTCACCGTACACTTATGTTGTAGTACATTCGAACGACAGCGATTGAACCGATGTGCCGGCAGGAATCCTGTAGTTTGCATTTGCGACCGCTCTTTGTCGCGAGATCTATTCAGTACTTATATTATAGACTTTCTCAAGCACTAGTCTTGTCTTCCTAACCTGTGATTGTTTTCCCAACTGATTGAGTGCGCGCATCCATGCCCCCAAGGAAGGTCGTCTGTCGTTTTGTCTTTGTTGGCTTGGCTTCCCGCTCCTCCGACTGGGGGTATGTAGGGTGAAGCTCTCGCGTGTCCAACCCAAATAAATCCTTCAATATCCGCCAACCTGGTTCTCGCGGCAGCGGCCACACTTGCGCCTGCGGCTACACCTGCACTGGGCACTCCCGCGCCGGGATCTGCCCCTCAACCTACGCAGGTGCCCGGCTCGAGCTCAGAAGGTAAGAGACTTGATGCCGCATATTTCGTTCAGCTGGGGCATGTCGTATTGTGCGAAACAGGAACTACACCGTCGAATACTGGCACATGCCCGGCTTTGCTCCAAACATGCCCAGTTTACTACCATCCGGAGTGATATATTTCCGCACCAAACACCGGCCGCCCTCCTCAAGGGTGCGCTATTCTATCCAGCATATCACGGGGGGCAACCGGTCCTCTCCGCTAGTGCACGAAAGGTCTCAGCTTCCCATAGTGGTGCTGTTTGCCGAGCTCGGACGCTTGTGCGCTCCCTACATGCTGTGTAAGGGTCATGGTATATGTTGGGGTAACTCCGAACGACAGCGATTGAACCGATGTGCCGGCAGGAATCCTGCAGTTTACATTTGCGACGGCTGTTTGTCGCGAGACCCATCCAATACTCATAATATAGACTTTCTCAAGCACTATGTCTTCCGAACGTGTGATTCTTCCAACTGATTGGGTGTGCGCATCCGTGCCACCAAGCAAGGTCGTCTGTCGTTTTTTCCTTGTTAGCTTGGCTTCCCACTCCTCCGGCTGGTGGTATGTAGGGTGAAGCATGACAAACTGGTGAAGCTCTCGGTTGTCCTAACCCAAATACGTCCTTCATTACCCGCCAACCCGGTATCTTGCGGCAGCGGCCACACCTGCGCCTGCGCCTACACCTGCACCGGGCACGGCTACGCCGGGATCTACCCCACCACCTAGGCCGGCACCCGGCTCGGGCTCAGAAGGTAAGAGACTTGATGCCGCATTTCCCGTTCAACTGGAGCATGCCGTATTGTCAATAACAGTCACTACGTCGTCGAATACTGACATATGCCCGGCTTTGTTCCAAACATGCTCAGTTCACCACCATCCAGGGTGATATTTTCCGCACCCAATACTGGTCTAGTGGTAGCCTTGAAACCGCTAGTGGCAGAATCGTGAGTTAGGGCCCTCATGCGGTGGAAAATTTACGTTCTTGCGAGTGTATCCGAAAAAATTGAACTGCTCGTGAGTACCAAACCTTCGACGTGAAGCCGAGTCTTGAGCACTCTGAGATTTATTTTTCCTCTCTCTCGGGGGGGGGGTTAGTCTGCACGGGAAAAAATATACAGATCCAAGCGACCGTCTCGGTTCCTCGAGGCATGTTTTTCCCCGGGGGGAAAAAAGGCCGGGTAGTCTGCACGGGAAAAAAAATTCAGATCAAAGCGACCGTCTCGGTTCCTCGAGGCATGTTTTTCCCGGGGGAAAAAAAGGCCGGTTTAAGTTTTTGTTGGTCACAACATGCTTCCGTTCACGGTTTTGGCTCGTGTGCGACCAACAAGACACCGAGCGCCCTGTTTTTGGTTCGCCTGCAGAGGGCATGTGCATGAGCGCCCGCCATTGGCTGCACTTGGTGGGTGTCGTCGGCCAAAGGTCTCTCTCTGTTGTGCGTTGTTGACTGAGCATACTCGGAGAAACCAGAAAAAAAAAGCAACGTCCAAAGCAGTCAACACCGAAACATACTTGCGTTCATGTTTGCGTGTGCAATAAAAACTTGACAATACGCCCTTTTCTGGGACGCTAATAGCAGAGGGTATGAGTATGACCGCACGCCATTGACTGCAGTTAGTGGATGTCGACGGCGTAAAGCTTCTCTCTGGCATGCGTTTTTGGAAAATCACACATGCCGCAGGCACAAAACAGTCTCTTTTCGGCCGAAAGGCAAGAACGTCAACAGAGCAATGTTGCAGGGTTAATGTTTCGGCTCGTGTGTGGCCAACGCGACGCAGAACAACCTGAAATTCAGATACCTGCAGAGGGCTTGTGCATGACCTCGTGGTACTGGCCTCTGTTCCAGCAGACGGTGCACTGTAGTTCCTCGATCTGGGACGATCGCCCCCATTTCTAACCTCGAAAGTATCAGCCGATCCAGCTTAGAATCTGGGCCTATCTTCTAACTTGCCAACTGAAATCCCAGGAAATATTCGGTCAGTATGGATTTAGCTTTAGGAACATGCCATTTTTCTCCGCGTAAGGGGCTACGAAAAGAACAAAAAATGCATCCTGAAATTAATCAGTGCTGAAGTCGCTGCCTTAGCAACGTCGACGAGGGAAAGGGACGCGGCTGTACCCTTCTCGCGACCAAAGATAATATTTAGCACGTACATGTACAGCAGAAGGAAGGTGGGACACGAGAATACCAGTGAACAGAAGCCCCCGTGTTTCCCCCCTCCTGTGTGACCCTGGATGGTTTGTCAGTAGTTGTGTGAAATAATAAACTGAAGAATGAAGTATTATAGAGAAGTATACATAGCACACGTCTCATCATGAAAAATGGGGGGAGTGTCGCCGTAACAAATACCTGGTAGGACGAAAATACACACACACACACGCACGACAGCGGCCGCCCTCCTCAAGGCTACGTTTTTCTACCCGGCATATCACGGGGCTAGGACTCATTCCCGTTAGTGAACTAAGGGTCTCGGGTTCCCCTAGCGCTGTTAAGACTTCTGTTCCTTGTGTGTTGCCTACATGCCGTGTTGGGGTCATGGTATACTTTTGTGTTGAAATAACTCCGAACGACAGCGACTGAACCGATGTTCCGGTAGGAATCCTGAAATTTACATTTTGCCGCCACTGTTTATCGCGAGACCCATTCGACACCTATAACGAAGACTTTCTCAAGCACTATGTCTTCCAAACGTGTAATTTTCATACAACTGGTCGCGTGCACGCATCCATGCCCCCAACGAAGGTCATCTGTCGTTTTTTCCTCGTTGGCTGTCGTTGTTTCCTCGTTGGCTTGGCTTCGCTCCTCCGGCTGGGGGTATGTACATAAGGCGAAGCATGACTAACTGGTGAAACCCTCGCATGTCCAACCCAAATAAATCCTTCAATACCCGCCAACCTGGTATCTCGCGGCAGCGGCCACACTGGCGCCTGGGGCTGCACCTGCACTGGGCACGGCCGCGCCGGGATCTACCCCTCAACCTACGCAGCCACCCGGCTCGAGCTCAGAAGGTAAGAGACTTGATGCCGCATCTCCCGTTCAGCTAGGGCATATGCCGTATTGTCAAAAGCACGAACTACGCCGTCGAAATGTTGACATATCCCCGGCTTTGTTCCAAACATGCCCAGTTCATTACCATCCGGAGTGATATTTTCCCGCACCAATCATCGGCCGCCCTCCTCATGGCTACGTTATTCTATCCGGCATATCACGGGGCTAGTAGTCATTGCCGCTAGCGAACGAATGGTCTCAGCTTCCCCTGGTAGTGCTGTTTCCCGACGAGTGCTGCTTGTGTGCTTCCTACACGCCGCGGGGGCATGGTCGTTTGTTTTTCTGTAGTTCTGTTAATCGTTTTTTTACAAATGCCCTACCTCGTGGTTGATGGCGAGTCAATGGGTTTCGGCGAAATCTAACACTCTCCCTGATGACGTGCTGGAGAGGATGGGAGGATAGGATACATTGGCGGTGTCTCACGGTCATTACTCACGCGATCGCGACGTGGCGCCGCCAAATAGCGCCCAATAGTACCCTTTTTGTTTGTTCTCAGCAGGTATGTTTGCTCGGCACTGCAGCCCGTCTCATACGGGTTGCCTTCTGCGTCACTTCTCCTTTTCTCGCACCATCCCCAGTCACCGCCCTCCCACGGGTCGTACAGGAGGGGAACGGTTGCGTTGTGGAAGAGTGCATGGCGTCGCAACGCCGACGAGCTTGGTTTCCGAAATAAACCCGTCTTGAAACCCCCATGGAAAAATGTATGTCTAGGCTCTCGTTCGTTTTTTTTTCCGTCCACTGATTGACCGTGGCCGTCAAGGTTTCTGGGTACAATAGTGTTTGAGAGCTGGAGGTTGTCCACCTTCATGATGGATGAGGTGTTGTTCTCATGCGCGGAACCCGTCCAGTTTAGCCGATAAATTTACCCTCCCAGGTTGCCATCGACCCTCCAAAGTACCATGTACTTGCTTTGAGGAAACGGCCGGTTGCACACAAAACGTTTACGCACACAGTCTTGTGTAAAACCTGCGGTGAGATGGCAAAGACTATCGCAAAGACTAGCACTGAAATGCTTCGGGTTGATACGTCGAAAAAACTTTGTCCTGTTACCAGCCGTTGCCTATCGGACTCCCGCCTCCATCAACGCTCATCGCTGCTCGTCCGCCGCTCGTCTGGTCACAGAGGGCGCATCGACGGTGGACGTTGTGGTCGGCGTTGCGGCGGGCGCGCTGGCGTTAGCAGCATTGGGGTTCTTCCTACATCGCCGGCGGGCCGCGAAAAGCACGGACCCCGACCCGCCGGCCCCTCCTTCTAACGGTTTGGACAGCCTGGAGCACGGCCGGGGTGAACAGCACCGGCAACGGCAGCAGGACCTCCACTCCTCTTCGCCGATCATCGCCGGCTCCGCCGGGGGCAACGTTACCCGCTGTCCGCCACCTCCTGCCCAGCAAGTTTTTCAAAGCTTTGCGCCGCCGCCCCCATCGTATGCGCATGATAATGCACACCGACGCGGTGCTTGGCCAGCCTCCGCCAGTCAGCAGCATGTGGTTATCGCCGCTGAGACAACACTCGGCGAAGATGGCACGACCATCCAATCGTTGTTCCCAGCGCCACCCGTGGGTACCTTGCCGAATCCCAGCTCCAAGGGAAAGCCCAAGCGCACACGCGACAACAATGAAAGCGGTGGTGGCACCAGGACGGCGGACGCGGGCGAGGGCGGGGGGGATGCTGTGGAAGACGGCGACGGCTGCGTGGCGGTAGCCGAGCAGTCGCTGCTGCCGTTGACGACTACGAACTCCACCAACGACGTGTCGACGGAAGAACGGACGGCCGAGGTTGCCGGGTTCGGGTTTTCGGTAGACGAAGGCGCCGACGACCCTCCTTCGGCGGCTGCTCCTGCTGGCCGCCGACAGACGCCCAGCGGCGTCGGGTACGGTCAGGCAGTACTGGCGGCGGCAGAGGAGCTCGCACATCATTGTCAGATCCCCGGCATCAGTGAGGCAGCGACAGCGGTGTCGATTCTGATACACTTGGTCGTGGACACTGAGGACTTGACGAGCAGCGCCGGGGTTAAGCGGTGCCGGTCGATCGTGATGATGCTCGAGCGGGCGGCGAAGGTGCTCGGCAAGGTGAGCGACATGACTGGTGTTGTTGGAGTGTGCACAATGCATTGTTCTGTCGTATGTATCCTGCCTGATTTAGAGACGTCGAAGGTGTTGGAAACAAGCTTTCTTCTTGGCGTACATATTGGAATTTTCAGGTACGATCAAAGATCTGTCACGCGGTGTCCTTCGCTTGCTCCTGCAGAATCGCACAGTTCTCTCTGCCACAAAAACTAGTTGAGGCATTTCAATGCCTCATGATGTCGATATTGTTTTGGCTTCGTTTGAGCCAAAGAACCCCGAAACTTGCAGCTTGTGTCTCGTGGAAGGTTTTGCCGTCATTGTCCGGAACGCAAGCCTATATTTCATCACGGGTTCGAGCGGTTGGGCCTATACGTGGTCTGTACTCGTGCGCATTGTGTCTGTGCTGTTTCAAATATTGAAATGTTTTTTGTTGCACAAATTGTCAAAAGAAATATGGACCAGGTCCTTCGATCAGATTGGAAGCGTTTCGTCTTGTTTTCTTTTTATGGTCAGATTTGGATCATGAATTGCAAAAATGAGTGCGCAATAGGCGTAGGAACGCCTGCTGTTTAGTCGTTGAGTGTTTGCTGAGGCGACGCCCACACCACCCCGACCACCCCCAACACCTACTCTCTGCTGCTGTGCGACTGTGGTGTGATGTGTGCGAAGGCGGGCACATCGTTTTCTCCGTTGTGCAAATGTTGTCGCTCGATAAAAATCGTTGTGCACGTCTCGTATGCATACTGTTGTGTACATGTAGGGTGGCGACACGAGCACGGAGGAGGAGCGCGTTTTGATGGAAGAAGTGCACGATGCCGTCTCCGATCTCGTGGAGCTGATCACATCTTACCAGAACAAGAGCAAGCTCGGCAAGGTGTTGACATCGACCCTGTTCAAGCGGCGCCAGGACGAGCTGAACGCGGTTATCGACAGGGCTATCTGGGGCCTGCACGTGAGTGCCGTGTACCACAAAATATGCCATCATAGTCTTCTTACAATGTAAGTTTTCTGTGAGAACGCTTCATTTCGCTTCTTTCGGCTGCTGTGAGCGCTCTATTCCGGTCTTCTCGGGCTCTCACAGAGCAGCATTTCCTCTGGAAATTTGGCACTTTGGTGGACTTTCCACTTTTATCTTCCGCTTTTATCTCTCTCGCCTGCTGCTGTCACCCCGCTCTGTACCATCATACCGCGCATTCCACTCGAAGTACGGCCCTCTCTGTGTGTGCCTCCTTCTCCTCCGTTCCTCCGTCTCTCTATGTCTCTGACGGTCTGTCTATCCACATTCTCTTTTCATTTTCGCCTTCTCTCTTGACCGCTCTCGCGTCGGAATGGTCTGTTGTTTGTTCCGATTCCGTGTGCTACTGCTGTACATTTTGTTTTTTCTTCGAACACCTTCACACGGTATGCACTCACCTCCTATCACCTTGGTACCGTATTCTCTCTCTCTCTCTCCTCTCGGTGTGTGTGTGTGTGTATCCACGATGTCTTTAATTTTTTGCTTTTCTCTCTTCACCGCTCTCGCGTCGGAATGGTCTGTTGTTCGTTCCGATTCCGGCAACGGTGTTGTGTGCTCCGGTTCCGGTAATCCCTTCTAAAGGTCCGGAAAATACAAAATACACTCCTTTCTACCTCCACTCTCGATGGCTACCCCGGCCCACTCCTCCCACTTCTCTGTAGCTACTCTGGCTACAGTTAAGCACCTTCATTTTAACAACATCCTACACCCACGTTCAGAGAAAACCTTGCCTTGGAATCGCTTCAAATAAAGCGGGGGCGCGCAGCGCCCAAAACCTTGTACTTAGTATGGATTGTACCTCGACTGCGCAGCCAGCTGCGCAAAACATGTGCTGTTGTCTCTCTCATGTCCAGCTACTTCTCAGAGTTCGCTCTGTGCGCATCGCTCATTTCTTGGAAATGTCGATGTTGGGGTAGGGGACTATATTATCCCGTTTCAGAACTCGCGATTTGACCATTGGCAACGCGGGGTACACCTAATGGGAAGCCCTCTCGTAGAGGGGTCGGGCACGGCTGCAATCGGACAAACGTAGGGTTGCCTCAAGGCGCTGAGCACGTCGACCGAACCGTACAGGCAGGTAGGACTCTGTGGTTTCGCCTTACCGCCTGCCTTTTTCCATGTTGGCTGCTTGTTGTTCGTCCAGTTGGGCCTGCAGGTGCAAGTGGGACACGACGTTGCGCACCTCGTCAAGGTGAGGGCGTGCCACGGAGATGAAGCGAACTTTTCCCAGAATTCTTCGATTTCAGATGCTGTTGCTGCCCGCCGCAAGATTGTGCCTCGGTGGCTTGTATTAACCACGGGCCAAGCAGGGCTATGCTCATTGGCCCTCCTGGATCGCGGTATCCATGTAAAGGGCCCTCTCGAGGACATCCCGTTTTCACCTTCTTCACCGACTCGCCTCACCTTTTGACCGAATCACTTCTGTGGTCGGGAGGGTTCAGTCAAACAACTCAGGATGTTTTGCGTTTGGCCATGTGCCCCTCGGTGATTTTTCGTTCGTTTCTATTTACCAGAGGTCAACCGCGGAGGCCCAGGCTCAGGCAGAATCTCTGGCACAAGCCCAGGCTCGGGCAGAATCTCTGGCGGAAACCCTCAGGTCGAGGCGGCAGCGCAAGCTTGACCAGATCGAAATCCCCGAGGAACACGTGTCGATCACGACCGAGGTGCTGGGAAAGGGGGGCTTTGGCGTGGTGTACCTAGCCGACTACAACGGCCACAACGCGGCGGCTAAGGTATGAGTGAGCCATTCGCGACCTGTAGGCCGAAGCATCTGCGAGTACAGTCTAACCACCGAGCGAGCGAGTAGGGCCTGCCTGGGGAGCGGAGAAACCACCCGCGACCACCGGCAGGAGTCATCTTCACCCCTTTTTCGTTTTCCGCTGTCGTGCTTTGTCTGGTTCATTTTCGTGTTATTGACGACGTCGGTACATGTATCGCTGAATGATGCAGGTACAACACTTCACCCACGGCCTCGGCAAGCCGGGAGAGAACGACATACCACTGAGTGAGCCAAGATCGGTAGAATCTAATGCACTGCGGGAGAAGGCCGAGCGTAAGGCATTCCTGCGCGAGCTGGACGCCATGGTTCGCCTGAGAAATCCTCATACCGTCAACGTCTACGGGGCGATCACCTCGCTGCCGGACCGCCTTGTTCTGGTCATGGAGCTGCTGGCGGGCGGTGACCTTCGGGCCATGCTGAAGAATTCCGAGCAGCCGCTTCCCGAGGATAAGTGCCGACAGATTATCCAGGATGTCTGCGCGGGGATGGCCTTCCTGCACAGCAAGGCGACGGTGCATGGTGACCTCAAGTCTGCCAATGTTCTTCTGGATGGCCGTGGAAGGGCAAAGGTATGGTCGTCTTGTGCTACATGTAGATCGTGTCGTATTGCCGCGCTGGTGATGGTCCTGGCTGTCTGTGGAAGGGTTGAGCACGTACCCCGCATTCCTGTCGTCCTGTCGCCCGCCTCTGACGAGAAACGTCCACACGTTGCCCACACCGGCCGCTACAGGATGGGTCCCATGTAATTGTTTGTCGGTGGTGGTGGTGTTGAATTCGGCCGAAGAAAGAGCCGACGGCACCGAATTCTTCACTTTTCCGTGTAATTGAACACGAGTTGCTTTGAAATGTTCAAACCCACAACATCACCCACAAAATATCTCAACAAGTTTTTTATCCTGCTGATTGGTCGTTTCATCTCTCCAGATTGGGGACTTCGGCACCTCTAGGTGGGCTCAGAACACCGAGAGGTCCACAGGCCTTGCCACGTACACCACCAATCCGGGACCAAGCGCCCACATTAGCTTTGCATGGACTGCCCCAGAGGTGAGGAGACGGCCTGGGTTTCTATCGTTTTCGGTGCTGGACTTTTACGGTGGTATCAACATGGCAGGGATGCGGGGTATTTGCCTCTGTTCATCTGGAACAACACTGAACACGCCTGTGAAGTTGACGAATGCACGCGGTCTAGTCAGAGTGGTTATGGTCTACTTCAGCTGAATTCCCGCACTGCTTGCAGATGTGAAGATCATGTGATACATCCAGAGAAATCTAGACTGAACGGCGTACTCTCGAAACTTTCCGCAAAACGTGTTAGGCGGCGTTGAGCGTCTCGGCAAGACGGCAGGCAACCCGCATGGATGGATTTGGGCTGAGTTTTTGAAGTACTCCAGAAAGTTTTTAGGGTTTCGGAAGATGTGCATCGTGTCAGCCAACAAGGGTACGTTGGCGAGTCTGTGAAATTGTTTCGTCTTGGAAGCTCTATGTCTCTGTCGCCTTGGAAACCGTCCTCTCGGTGTTCTTTTCCTCCAACGGAGAACCACAACAGTGGCGACTATTGTCTGGTGTGGTGCAGTGGCGAACATGAAGCACGAACTTCAACCAACGGCTGTAGGTGCTGCCGCTCAAACTGTGCAAGATTATCTACAGGTCCATGCTCCCTTGTAGATGAAAAGTCAACATTATTGACGCTGCCCCGCGCCTAACCGGCTAGTTGTGTACGTCACGACGGTTTGAGGGATTTCGAACGCGATTTTCACGACAAGATCAGCCTGCCTCCAACAGGACTAGACTACTGTTGAGAGACCTTTGCCATACCCAAGTTCGAAACTACATGGGGCGTGCTCAGTGGCCGTCGATAGTTGTGTAACTGAAATACAGGAGCTGGCTTGTTTCCGTCATGCGGTGCAAAGCACACATCACGAGAGCCATCTCGACCCACGGCTCGTGCTTCAAAGCAATTGGCAGTGCCTCTGTGGTGTCAACACCGGCTGCACGAGCAGTGAGGGAGGTTCCCGGTGTTGTTGGTGTTCTACGCGGAAGGTGCCTAGTCCGGCGGGCACCCATCCGAAGTGGACCAATTGGGAAATTCACGGTGCTGTTCTCTCCTTGATCGCGCTTCGGCGATCCAGCGATACTAGCGCGAACGGCGTATTGCAACGCCTTTAACAAGGTGTGTACAGTAGGTATGTTGCGATTCGCATGCAACTTGTCCCGTACGTGCGATCGAAGGCTCTCTTGGGCGTTGTGATTGCGCGTCTGACACTGTTCTCTTCCACCTGCGTGCGAGAAGGTGCTGGAGTCCAAGGAAACCTCCACGGCGAGCGACGTCTACAGCTTCGGGATGGTGGCGTGGGAGGTGCTGACGAGACAGACACCTTGGGCGGACCAAGCTCGGCCTCGAGACATCTACCTCCGTGTTGTCATGCGTGAGGAACGCCCCGCGATTCCCGCGGATGCCCCCGTAGACATCGCAGAGATGGTGCGCAGCTGCTGGGCCCAGGAGCCCGAAGACCGCCCGACGTTTCCAGGGCTTTGCAACTGGGGGTACGTCCGACGGACGGCTTGAAGCACAAAGCTCTTGATTTTGAGGAACGCTTGAATGGCCTTGGGCATGACCGTGGTACGTATCATGTGAGACGATACACACACCTAGCCGGTGATCTGTGCTACTGTATTTCATGTTTGCAGTGTCCTGGAAGCTGTACATAGATTGGGAGTTTACTGCTGTCGGTACGGCGTCTACAGTGACGTTTGCGTTGTGTATAGGCGCCTCCTGCCACCAGTATCATTGGCCTTGGTCAGTGTGCGGCCATCGTAGGCACAACCTTCATGGTTCCGGCGTGACCAATCGTAAAACCAGGGTGAATGCGGCGGGCTGTGGGAGAGCCCATAGTGCTGCACGTGGGAAGATGGTGTGTCGATAGGGGAGGGTATCAGCTCCGAGCTCTAGCAGGCCACGGCCTTGAAAGACCGAGAGGAGCGTGCGAGATCGGTCATCAATTCTAGTTGGGAGTTGGAGGAGAAGGTGCGGTGAGGGAGGGCTTCCCCGCTCTATAATAGCTCTCAGGAGGCCCGACGGGCATCGCTTAAATAGCCCGACTGGGACCCCGGTTTGTCCGAACGAAGTCGGGACAGGTATCCCCCCCGACGACTGGGGTGATGTAATGCCCGTGGGGACGACGGTGCGTCTTTGCAGCAGCATCCTTTGGAATAGCTAGCCGTAAAGGAAGGGGGAATGGGGACACAGACTATGGGAGAATAAACTGCAAGGATCGGCGAAGGTATGATCGGGGAGGAAGGCCTCCTCCACGGGACGCAGGGAAATGAAAGTAATACGATGAGGACCCAACTTTAGAACTATACAATAGCTAGCCATAAACGAGACGCCTGCTGCCGCCCTTGCCTATCCTCCCCGGCTCTATTCGCGGCAGCCCCAACAAAACACACTTCGAGATCATCTCAACCTTCGAACAACCTTAATGTTTCCGAAACACATGCCCGCGGCAAACAAGGCGATCGCGGATAGCCCCCTGCAAGATATCGCTTCGGCTACTTTCGTTCATTTGTTGTTGTAGACTCAAAACTGGTTTGCTGGTCTAGAGAGAATCGCACAAAGAGCTGAACGAGCGGTTTCTTCTCGTCCAAAGTCGGCAAAAAATCCCAAGGGAATGACCCACGCAAGTTCTCGAAGCCGCTGTTAGGAATGCCTAGAAAATGGCCACGAAAAAGAACCAAGATGTGTGGTAAGGTGGAATCGTCATCGAGGGTGGTCATGGAGCCAACTTTCGGTATCCATGGAGGACTAAATATCATCCGGGGTGCGCTGTTGGTTGAGCGGCGGCAAAATCCAATGAGGCCCGGTTTGATGGACCCTTCCAATATCAGCTCCAATGCTGCGCTATTGACAGGACACGCAGATATTCCTGACAATATAAAATCAGGTTTGTAGAAGAAGAGAAGGACGGCCGGGCTACTGTAACACGAACGCAGAGGGAGGGCGGTTGGTCGGCGCCCTCACCTGGGGCTACGTGTAGTTGAAGACTATACGTACAACCCTGACCCTAACCCTAACCTGGGAGGGTTAGGGCCCCTGTTTTCGTCACGTGTCACAGAGAACAGGGTTCGGGTTTCAAAACAGGATCTCAGTTTGAAACCCGATTTCTGTTGTGTACGTTGTTGCAAGGGCCCCCTAGAGTTAGGGTTAGGGTTAGGGTAAGTCTTCAGTCCCCAGCCTTCTTTTGATTTCGAGGTAACGGGCGTGATGTCATTCCAAAGCCCTCGCGAGGGGCTTTAATTCGGCAATCCATGGTCTACCGTAGGGTTAGCGGTTGTGGAGATATGGCAAGCGATCGAACCCTAGGGTTTGGGGCTAGGGCGCACGGGATCCGATGACTTTACCAAATGATTTTTGGTTCGTGAGACTTGTTTTTTTGCACCGGACATGTGTTTTGGGAGCGTCCGAGGAGGATTTTTTTTCGGGGGCGGCGGAAGATTGGTCCCTTATCGTACTGGTTTCAGTATTGTCGGGGTGAGCGAGGGTTAGGGTTAGGATTAGGGTTAGTCTTCAGTCCCCAGGCTTCTTTTGATTTCGAGGTAACCGGCGTGACACCATTCGAAAGCCCTCGCGAGGGGCTTTAATTCGGTAACCCATGCTCTACGGTAGAGTTAGCGGTTGTGGAGATGCTCGCCACCCTGGTAAGCGCGCCGACTACAACGACAAATGCCCACGCTACCCCCCCTACATCTGGAAGCGCGTTGGCGGAGATCTGTGATGACTGTGCAGCTCCCCCCTTCATCTGGAGAACCGCCCAACCGAAAAGCCCTGCGCTGCCCCCCCTTCATCTGGAGACGCGGAGGTGCAGAAATGCTGCCCTCCCCTACATCTGGAGAGCGTGGACCCGCGTCGCCCCCACTACATGTGGGGGCGCGCTGGTGAGGAAAAGTTGCCCTCCCCTACATCTGGAGAGCGTGGACCCGCGCCGCCCCCCCTACGTCTGGGGGCGCGCTGGTGAAGAACTGCTGCCCTCCCCTACATCTGGAGAGCGTTGACCCGTGCTGCCATCTCTACATATGGAGGTGCACTGGCAAGGAACTATTGCCCCCCACGTCTGGGGTGCGTCGGCTGGCGCTGCCCCCCCTACGTCTGGAGGCGCGCTGTTGTGTAACCACTGCTGTACGTCCCTCCCCTACATCTGGAAGGCGTATACTGATGCCTTCCCCCCTTATTTCTGGAGAGAACACCTGTGAGATATTTGCGCTACCCACCCTACATCTGGGGGTGCGTGCTAGTACCCTCCCCTACATCTGGAGAGCACACCTACGATAAATTGCTCTACCCCCCCTTCGACTAAGGGGATACGATTCTCGGGAGGTATGGTGTGCCGCCGTTCTTATCTACCTGTGGCGTTTGGTCGCGAGTATCGACCTGAGGCACAGCACTACTCAACGGTGAGCCAACCGGTCCAGTCACGTGACGCCTAACTCAACGCTTGGAACTGGTACTTGTTTCGCCATTCCCCAATCCAACCAATTGTATCTCTTCACTGAATGAATCCAGAGGGTTGATCGAACCTAAATGGCCAATACATCGAAATTGACCGTCCCATGAACCGAAAGGAATCGATTTTCGAATCACATGAAAATCATTTTCCATGTCTACGCGATTTTGATCGTAGCCTACCACACTTCTAATCGATGTTGCCGTCCTCATGTCGATGCTTGCATGCCAGGTCGACACGTGCTCCAAGTTCCTAGACCTTCCCACTTGCGCTGCCTGGGAACCTGACACCACCGCCTTCCTCAAGCTCACCACCAAACAGGTCAGGCGCGCGCGTGGTTGCTGGAGTGTCGAAAACACCACACTAGGATGACATGGAATATACCTAAATCTCATACATGTATGTTCGTCTTGTTTTGTGCAGGTATTCAGGGGGTGGGGTTGCCAGTTGCGACTAGGCCTGGTGGATTGTTTGCTCGAAAAGGATTATTCCTGCGTCGGTATGGTTGGGGAGTGAACCAGGTTCGCTTGTAGTGTAGGCTGTGTAGAGGGTGGTCTGTTTGTTGCGTGTGTGCCGGGCAGGGGAAGTGATGAACTTCCAAAGCCATGCGCTGATCACATACACTGCACGCACGCGTCCCCCCTACAAAGCACACTGCCACGTGACACTGAGGACCACCCTCACCTCCAACACCCGAGGAACTCTTGACACACCCGGCACCCGCCCGCCCTTATGTACGTGATTGCACGACACACGAAACAGCTGCCGACCTTCCTTGGATGCTGGGTGCTGATCGGTATCTGCGCGGCTTCGATGTCGACGTCCGACGGTGCTATTCTAGCCATCTCCACCGTCCTCTCGACAATATCGCGCGTAAGGTAGATCAAGGGCAGCACACCCAGGCTATCGGGCTACGATGGCTAGTGGTTCCAACGGTACCCTCGTTCAAAGAGTATCGTCCTTGACCTCAAGGCAACAACTGCTCTTGACAGGCACTGCTTAAAGTCGTTGTGGGACAGTTCGTTGTTTCATTATCCATGATTGATGCCGAATGGTAGGTACCATGAATGTAGCATAAAAGTCAATTCGCGGTTTGCAGGTAAGGACTTCCTCTGTCTCCCGGCGTCGTGTCCGGCCTGCTCTGTTGCTAACCAATATCACCATTCTATGTGTTCTTTGTTGTGTACCCTGAGCACCAACTTGGCCGTCGTCATATCCCCTTGTTTATCCCGTTGTATGCTCCAGGCCATTCCCGGAGGTGACCGGTTCAGTGACGTCAAGCTGCTCACGATCGTGCGCGTCAGCATCATCCCCGTAACCTTGATTGCTTGTATTGTGGCTTCAACATACAATGAGACTGGATGTGAGTCAAACAATCACGTTCTTCGGCTGTTCTTCTGTCTCCCTGTCTCTGTTCTTGGTCTTGGTTTTGCAGTAAAGCCATTGATACTGAAGTCTGGTGGGTAAGGGGGTACGCCGGGCTTTCGTCTCCCGTGATATATTGGTTTGAACGCAAGAATGGAAACACTGGCACGCGCTGATGATGGTACACAAATCTAAGGCTCCAAACGTCTGATACCCATTGGTTTTAAGCTCGTCAACGAGTGAATGCCAACAAGAGCGGCACTCACAATCGCTGCTAGGAAGTTGTTGCTGTTGTTGAGAACATAGGATGCTGTCACGATAGCGGACGATGAAATCGATACGATGATGCTGACGCGGCGTTCGATCGAACTGATGGTCGTTGTCTCAACGATCGTGACGCTTCTTGTGCGCAGACCTATTGATCGTGGCCTTCGACATCGTGCTTGCTGGATGTATCGCCCCCCTCTTCGCCGCGATCTACTTCAAGAAGTCGGTAAGCGAGCGAGCATCACCACAACAAGATCTGGTTTCGCACAATCGCATGTGTGGTCACGGGCAGTTGCCGTGACTGCACCAAGCGTGCACCTTGTGCGATACACTCCGCTGGGGCGTGTGTACCCCTCTATCCCATCATCAGGTCTATCGCATAACCGTCGTTGGATGCCGGTGTCGTCGTTGACTCAACACTGCGATCGAGGATGATATCAAGCATTTGTGTGTACTCGTGCGCCTGCTCGTCGTCTAGACATATCTACGCTGGCCAACTTGGGCCAAGTTTTTACTACAGCTTGTGACCATTCCATACCATGCCCGAACCATACCACACCAAGACCGTTGAAGTTCCCCGGATGTGGCAATGCGAGGAATAGACACAAGAACTATCATGGGTGGGATGTAACACACCACCAATGACAACGCCACCGTCAACCAATAGGTGACCCCTGGAGACGCTCCCGCGCCTGTCCTGTTCGGCTCTATCTTTCGCGCTATCCTGGAGTTTGCCTTGCCCAAGGACGGCCTCCTCGCCATCCCGCACGGTGAATTCAACTTCCACTATGGCCCCGGCGAGGTAAGCACGAAGCACACGCTGCAGGCGTCAATGTGCCACTATGCTACCTCTCCTCTCTGTGTGGACGTTTGTTCGGTTTCAGCTTTACTGTCGCGGCGTTCCCAACAGCTGCCACTCTGAAGTGCGACGTGGGCAGATCCCAGCCTGCGTACAGTTTATGGAAGTACTTGACAGCCGCGAGGTACCCCTTCACCGTATGGCTCTGGTTCTTGTACACGAAACACCTCGACGCCATAAACGCAGTCAGCTCTCTCACTGCGCTATCCACACCGCCCTCCTCGTACAACCATGGACTCAGATTCGCTTTAGCTCTTTCAGCTGTCCACGTGTCCCACTTGCTGTGGTATCCTTTCAGCGTGCTCACGTTCAGGGAGCCGTCCTCCATTATCCTGAGGAGCCTTTCGCCTTCATCGCTCGTTCCCTTCGTCCCGTGTTCGCTTCCTGTACTTGAACACGTTAGAGTCATTACACCTTCGTTAGTTCTTTTGCTCATCATTCTCGTCTTTCTCTTATCACTTCTTCTCTTTACAAGCTTGCCATGCGGCTCCATACGAGGCCATCCATTCTTTGGTTCTGGAGTTTCTCTTGCAGTACCATTTCAATTAGCTCTCTTCCGGTGTCTCCGATGTCTTGCATTCGCCAGTTATCATCATGCGTGAGTCTTTCCACATTGACTTCTACGTCCTCTGACTTCCATCTAGATATCCCGTCCGCGAGGGTATTCTCGCGTCCCGGGATGTGTTTCGCCACGTGACACCATCCGTTTTCAATCTCCATGCGACCAAGCAGTCTCATGAGCAGTCCCGCTCGCCTGTCTCTCGAGCCCCCGCATCTGTTCACCCACGATACCGCCGACATATTGTCTCCCCTCATCATGATAGCTTGTCCGTGTTGCGTCGGCTTTTCTCCCACGACCATTTGGACCACCCAGCATGTAATTATCATTCCGAGCAATTCTGACGTGTCGGTGATCAGGCGCGTCTTCACCGCTGCTTCTTGAGCCATGATTTCCGCCGAATGAAGGCTGAGGTAGTCCCGGGGCGTGGGCTCGTCTCCCCATGCCTTCGTGTCTCGGCGAAACCTCTCCTTCTGTTCCTGGGTGTTTAAGGCCCTGGTTTGACACGTTAACATTTGGGCCCAGAGCTTGCGCTTGCTGGTGTTTCGCCCGCTGGGTATAGCGACGTGAGACACAGAAACAACGGGTGGGGGGGGGGGCGATAACGTGTTAACGGTCTTACTAAGGGGCTAGGTTTCGCCCACAGGGTATAGCGACGTGAGACTCACAGCTCGACGAGAGATAGGACCATCTGGAAGCGAAAACGTCGGCATCGAAACCAATGGTTCTGCCGCCTGTATCGCTTTCGCCCTTGCTCGTTTTCGTTGCCTATTTCTCGCATCGATTTTTTGTCGCCCACTCGGTAGATGGTCTGGTCCTACCAAGAAGTCTTGAAGAGGAGGGTCAATCTCTTCTTCGTTGTCTGTTTCTCGTGTCGATTTTTTGTCGCCCACTCGATAGATGGTCTGGTCCTACCAAGAAGTCTTGAAGAGGAGGGTCAATCGTACCCCGCCCTCGGGGTCGGGGTCGGCTCGAAACGTTGGCGGGGGCGTCGAGCTTAGCTTTTCTCGTCGTGGAGATTATCCCGGCTCCTCGTCACACCTTGATTAGGTCCCCCTGGCGCTTGAAAGTACTCCAGGAAATACACTGACTGTAGATATTTGCACCCCTTCCGGTGGTCGCGGAAGGGGCCTGAGTGCTTTGTAGCTGTATCCGGTCTCACTTTAAGTTGTAGAGTCGGGTGCACGGAGGGTTTAGCAGCGGTCGACCCAAGAAAAGTCAGCGAGATTGAAACGAAGTCACTCCATTGTACCAGGTGTATCCTAGTACGAAATATGAGTATCCTGTACACCCGTGTGGCGAAAAATGAAACTTTGAGGGGGCTGCCTCGTGTCGCGATCCGGAAATCTCACTAATAAGCGTTTGTGAGCTGCTACTCGCCGTTTCACACGGCAAATGCAGCATCATGCAATAGGCTGTTCGTCTCGAGTTCCGGCTGAATGCAAAGAGTTATGGGTTACCATCACAGCGTGTCATCGCGAACAAGCGCGTCGTGACGGGGTACAGTGGTCCAGAGGAATGCAAAAACGGGGTGAAGTCTCGCCGATGTCATTCATTTAGGATAACAAGGAAATTTTCAGCTATGGGACTGTGGGAGAGAATGGTTGGAGAGAGGGGGGGGGGGGGGGGGGGGACCCATAATCGTGGGTGCCGTATTCCTTTGACCCTTGAAAAAGGGGGGGGGGGGGACCCATGGGCCCCCATGCCGTAATCGTTAAACCCTTT